TAAAAGCATAGTGTTTTTGTTATTTGCAGTTTTTCCACATTCATGGGGCTCCTGTACCCCTAACCCCAGCGAATATGGAGGGACAAATGTATTAAAATTACTTAAAACAACACTTTAAAAAGATAAAATACCATTATGGTGGCAGGACCAAGATGGTTTTCTAATTAGCTGGAGCTGGTTGGTTTTGCTTTTCATTTGTGTCTGAGTGGAGCTGGAGAATTTCTGCAGTGCCGACAAGCACTAAAAAGGAAAGCATATTTCAAATGCAACAAGTTTGATTAATTCAGGACTGGGAAACTTGTGGCCCTCCAGAAGTTGCAGAACTACAGTTCCCATTAGCCCCAGACATCATGGACAGTTATTAAAAATGAGGCAAGGATTATTATGAATGATGCAATCTAACAATATCTGGAAGGTTGCAGGCTCCACAACCTTGAGTCAATTCATAATCTAGTATTAAAGTTAGTGGTTGATTTGTAACCACATTTTCTTAAGCAATGAGAACAGAACAACTTGTTGCCCTAAGCATAATGTAGCATCACACAGGAACACTAATCAACTTTAGGTAACAAAGAAACATGATCTGAATGAAGATCCTTGGCTGCGTCTGCAGGAGTGCAAATGTATTTGCATATAAACACACATAGACATACATGCATACAGACACACAAAGATAAACATGAATACAGAAACACACATGCTAGGGATGTAATTCTTCACAAATTTTCTTTTCAAAGGAAGCAATGAGTAAATTTTAGCAATTTTATTCCTACTGAGAGAAAGTCTTCAAAATGTGTTGCTTTTAGAGACTATTCACAATTTGGGATTTATTCTATGCAAAAGCTTGCACATGCAAAAAATGCTGAGTTTTTGTGTGTGAGAGCCTGTGTCAAATAACTTCATGTGAATTTTGTTTAGGATAAGTCCCGAACAACAAAGATACTCATTAGTCTAGATTTCTTCTCAGCAGGGTTCCTTGACACTTGAGAAATATGTTTCTCTACAATTGTATAAACATTGTTGCATATTCTTTCCCTCCCTCTCACACAGACATGCATGAAAGGGTGTGTGTGTATCTGCTGTGTGCCTTTAAATTGTTTTTGACTCATGGAGATCCTAAAGCAAACCTATCATGGGGCTTTCTTGGCAAGTTTCCTAAGAGGGGGTTTGCCATTGCCCTCCTCTGAGGCAGAGAGTGTGTGACTTGCCCAAGGTCACCCAGTGAGTTTTCATGGCTGAATGGGGATTCAAACCCTGATCTCCAGAGTCACAGTCCAACTTTCAAACCACTACACCACCCCACCCCATATCACAGCAGATACATACATACACTCGTGTATGAAAGCATACATGGCCTAAATTAGTTTTGAACCTTTCTAAGGCTGTATGTACACTGCAGAATTAATGTAGTTTGACACTGCTTTAACTGCCATGGCCCAATGTCATGGAATTTGGGGATTTGTAGGGTTTTTTTTAAAGATATTTAGCTTTCTCTGTCAGACAGCTCTGGAGCAACAACAAACTGCAAACCCCAGGATACCATAGGATGGAGCCATGACAATTAAAATGTTGTCAAACTGCATTAATTCTACAGATCTTTGACAAAAAGATCAAAAATTCACATACAGTGGTGAATAGAAATACCCAGAGAAAAGGTATGGTGAAACTTGTGAGGTGGTTTTATAGGTAGAGATTGAATAAATGTGCAAACATCATAGTTTGGAGTTACATATGTTATGACTGCAAAACCGAACCACACTTGCCAATTGAGGCCTCTGTTACCTTTAAGCTAGCTTGTTCCCCTGAGATGTAGTGGAAGGCTTTTCCCCATTGCCAGTCAGGTTTGTGTTCATGGAATTGGGTGTTGGTGGTGTTGACAATGCCTTCATCCTGAGTTGGGAAGCAAAGTGACTCAGGCATTCCCTCCATGAAAGTCCACTCTCTCTTCTGTTTGCTCTAGTTATCCTTTAGTTACCCTATGTACTCTCTGTTGTGGTTTGTGGCTAGTTCCAGCTCTATTACATTAGAAAGCAGAAGAAAGGGAGGAAATGATCCAATGGGAGACACTACAACCCATATCTACTGCTTCAGGATTGATAGATACCTAATCAGTTAAACCACATAACAACAGCAAGGTATCACACCACCATTCAATGCAGAGTTGGGGTCCTAGTTGTTTTAAAAATATGGCACATTCAGAAAAGGTGAAGGTGGAGGGCAGTAGAAAAAGAGCAAGACCGCATGCCAGATGGAAGGATTCAACCAGGGAGGTCACGGACCTGAAATTACAGGGCATACACAGAGCAGGGGAGGATAAGGAGTCTTGGAGATGTCTCATCCTCAGGGTTGCCATGAATAGGGATCAATTTGAAGGCAATCAACAACAAA